AGTGGGGTACTCCTTATGGGGTACAGTATTGTTAGGTTTTACCTATACAAACCTTGTACTGTCCTGTTTCTCGTTTCTTACTTTGTGACATGGTTTCAGAGTAGGTCCCCTAGTGGGAACGTTTTTTTTTTAGGGCCCACCGTGTTAACTTTTTTTTCCTGCTCTGCCCGAATCGCGCGTCGCGCCTGCCTTACCTGCGCCGTCGTGCGCTCCGCCCTAGTGCCGCCCTTAGCGGCCCTGCCCTTGTGGCCCGTCGCGGCCTTACCCCAACGGCCCGTCGAGGCCCTTTTCTCACCGCCGCGGCCCTCCCTAGCCGTCGTCACCGCCCTTAGCGGCCCGCCCTAGCCGTCGTCGCGGCCCTTAGCGGCCTGCCCTTAGCGGCCCGCCTCAGCCGTCGTCGCGGCCCTGCCCTACCCGCCTGCTGCGGCCTGCTTTCGCCGCCCGCACAGCCCTGCCCTGCCGCCCCTCGTCGCGGCTCTCCTTTGCCGCGGCCTCGTTGCGGCACTCCCCTGCAGCCGCCGTGCGCGGCCCTGCCCTACTGCCGCCCGGTCGCGGCCCTGCTCTCCCGCCGCCTCGTCGCGGCCCTGTCCTGCCGCGAAGTTGCGGCCCTCCCTTGCGGCCCGTTCCCTGTCGGCTCGTCACGGCCCCTGCCCTGCCAGTCGCGGCCCTGCCCTGCCAGTCGCGGCCCCTGCCCTGCCAGCCGCGGCCGTGCCCCTCTCCCGCCCCTGGTAAGCGCACTGCTGCACCCGCGCCGCCCTGCCGAGCCGCGCCGCCCTGCCGAGCCGCGCCGTTACTGCTGCTGCTGCTGCTGCGGCTACTGCTACTGCTAATGCCGCCATGGCTAACCCTAATGTCCTTACCTTCGAAGTTGAGGGTCAAGCAGTCGATTTCGAGGTCTGGGTTGATGATCTGCAGCTTTTCCTGCAGTGCGACTCTAGGGACGGAGTCTCACTGTTCGATCACACGTCCGGCGTCTCTGTTGCACCTGCTGCCGATGCTGACAGTGCAGTTCGCTCGAAGTGGACCACGCGCGATGCTGCTGCTCGTCTTGCTGTTTGTAGTCACCTGCCGTCTGCTGAGCGCGCGCACTTTAGCCAGTACAAGACTGCTAAGACTCTGTACGACGCTGTTGTTGCGTGCTACTCCTCCCCTGCCACTGCTGCCCTCAGCCGCCTCATGTTGCCGCACCTGTTCCCTGACCTAGCCGCTTTTGCCACAGTCGCTGACCTCATTACGCACCTCCGCACTAGTGACACCCGCTACCGCGTTGCGCTTCCTGCCGAGTTCTGCGCCACGAACCCCCCCCCTTATGTACATCACTCTCTACTACCTCGTCACCCGGCTCCCTGACTCCCTTCGCTCAGTCAGGGACCACTTCCTCTCCCTTTGCCCCACCACGCTCATCGTTAACCTCCTCGAGGAGCGCCTCCTTGTAGCTGAAAAGAGTATAGTCGCTGTAGGAGCCTCTCGTGGTGACCCTCGTGCCCCTTTCTTTGAGGGGTGCTCCCCCGTCCCCCTTTTGCCCTCTCTTGCCTCTGCTGCTGCTGTCGACCTCGTTGGCACCGAGTCGGTCGGCGCTGCGTCTGTGGCGCCGCAGCGGCAGTAGCAAGGGGGGCAAGGGTGCTGGAGGAGGCGGCGGGGGCGGCGATGGTGGCGGTGGAGGCGGCGGAGGGGGTGGTGGTGGAGATGGGGGTGGTGGCGGGAGTGGGGGCTTCGGTGGCGGTGGTGGAGGTGGGGGCGGCGGCGGCAGCGGCACTGGGGTTGGCGGCGGCGGTGATGCTGGTCGGGGTGGCGCTGTGCAGTGGGGAGGCTTTGGTGGTGGCCAGCGCCAGCAATAGCATCGTTCTCGTGAGACCCTGTCGCCCCAGCAGCTTCGTGAGTGGTACGCTGGGCGTGGGAGGTCTGGGGGTGCTGGTCCCTGTACCTACGTTTTCCGCACCGGCGAGCGCAGTGGGGAGACGTGCGGAGGGCCGCACGCCACGCACCGCTGCTTCGGCCGCCTGACAGACACCTGGCGTACACAGTTTCCTGACGCCACTGAGCTCCCTCGCTGGGGTGATCTGCTTAGGTCGGGGGTTGCTATCTTTGATCTTGATTCTGATGCTATCCTTGCTGCTATGTATGCTGTGACTATTAGTGCTGAGGGTGACTGTTACCTGTGTGTTCCGCCCGACCCGGGCATTGAGGCTGCTGCTCTAGGTGCTCGTGAGTCTGCTGCTCCAGGTGCTCGTGAGTCTGCTCTCTCAGGTACCGCGTCGGCTCAGGCCTTGCACACTTTCTCCCTTCACTCGGGTGCTTCCCGCTCCTTCTTTCGCGACTGCAACACTCTCGCCGCTCAGTCGGCCTGTGGCAGTCACTCTGGCTGACCCCTCTGGGGGTCCGGTCCTTGCACACTCCTCCACAGCTCTGCCGTGTCCGGCGGTCCCGTCTGGCTCTCTGTCTGGCCTCCACCTCCCCTCGTTCTCCACGAACTTGGTGAGTGGAGCTGACCTTCAGGACGCATGGGTTGACCAGTTCACTCCTGGAGGTCAGCGGGTGACCCACTGTTCATGGGCCGGCACCTGGCCACGTTCACCCGTCAGCCTGGGTCGAGCCTGTACACCCTGACTACCGTGTCTCCTCCGGTTGCTGAGTCTGGTCAGGTAGCCGCGTCGGGTCAGGTGTTTGCTGCAGCGTCCTGGTCTGGTCCTGAGTCTGCCCCCTGCTCGTGTCGCCTCCTGTCTCACCAGACTCTCCTCTGGCACCACCGCCTTGGTCACCCCTCCCTGCCTCGTCTCCGAGGCATGGCCTCCCGTTACCTTGTCTCTGGTCTCCCCCGGTCTCTCCCTCCCCTTCCCCCGGGACCTGCCCCTACCTGCGTTCCTTGCGTCGAGGGGCGGCAGCGCGCCGCTCCTCACTCCTCCGAGTTCCCTCCGACGGAGGCTCCCCTGCAGACTCTTCACATGGACGTGTGGGGCCCAGCCCGCGTCCGTGGACAGGGTCACGAGCGCTACTTTCTGCTGGTCATTGACGACTACTCGCGTTACACCACAGTCTTCCCCTTGCACAGCAAGGGTGAGGTCACTGAGGTCCTGATCGATTGGATCCACACTGCCCGTCGTCAGCTCAGCGAGAGTTTCGGCTCGGACCTTCCTGTTCTGCGTCTGCACTCCGACAGAGGTGGAGAGTTTTCCTCCGACCTTCTGCGAGCCTTCTGTCGTGCGGAGGACATCCGCCAGACGTTCACGCTTCCGGCCTCTCCACAACAAAATGGGATTGCTGAGCGCAGCATTGGCATGGTCATGGACGTTGCTCGTACGTCCATGATCCATGCGGCTGCTCCCCATTTTCTGTGGCCGTTCGTGGTTCAGTACGCTGCGCATCAGCTCAATCTCCAGCCCCGGGTCTCCATGCCGGAAACCACACCTACTCTGCGGTGGACGGGGAAGGTTGGCTATGCCTCTGCGTTCCGTGTCTGGGGATCTCGAGCTTTTGTCCGCGACTTGTCTTCGGACAAGCTGTCCGCCCGTGCTGTTCCCTGCGTCTTCCTTGGCTTCCCCCCTTGACGCGCCTGGTTGGCAGATTTACCACCCCATCTCGCGCCGTGTTCTGTCCTCTCAGGACGTCACGTTTGACAAGTCGGTTCCTTACTACCGTCTCTTCCCCTACCGCACTGCCCCCCCTCCCCCGCCGCCGCTCTTCCTCGCGCCAGGTCCTCCCCGGGTAGACCCCCTCCCCCCTCAGGGTCCTGTCCCCTCAGGTGTGTCCCAGGTAGACGCAGTCGAGCCTGTCGAGGTAGCTATTAATCCTGGTGCTGCTAGGGGTGCTGAGCCTGCGGGTGCCGGGTCTAGGGGTGCTGAGCCTGAGCGTGCGGAGCCTGGGGGTGCTGAGTCTGGGGGTGCTGAGCCTGGGGGTGCTGAGCCTAGGGTTGCTGAGTCTGGGGGTGCGGAGCCTGAGGGTGCTGAGCCTGCGCGTGTGGAGTCTGGAGGTGCTGAGCCTAGCGGTCCTTCGGGTGCTTCGTCCCGGCGGGAGCCACTCTCTCCACAGCAGCTGCGCGTGTGGTTTGCTCGGCGCTGGAGCCGTGCTGCTGGAGCTGGTGGTGCTACGGGCGCTGGAGGTCCTGCTGCTGCTGGAGCTGCTGGGAATTCTGGAGCCACACGTCCCGGAGGTGCTCGTACTGGAGGTACTGTAGCTGCTGGGCCTGGTGGTGCTGCTGGAGCTGGAGCTGCAGGAGGTGCTGGAGCTGGCGGTGCTGCTGGGGCAGGTGTTGCTGGAGGTACTGGAGCTGGCGCTACTGGAGCTGCTGGGGCTTCTGGTGGTCCTGCTGGAGCTTTAGCTGTTGGAGGTGCTGGAGCTGGAGGTGTTGCTGTAGCCGGTGCTCCTTGGGGTGCTGGAGTTGGCGCTACTGGAGCTGCTGGAGGTGCTGCTGGAGCTGGTGGTGCTGCTGGAGTTGGAGCTGACGCTGGGGGTGCTGGTGCTGTCCCTGCTGGTTCTGGAGCGGCTGCGCGCCCGCGGCCGTACTTCGTTCCGCTCCTTGAGCAGGTTCTTGGTCTCCCGCCTTCTACTGGTCCTAATCCTTCCTTAGAGTGTCCACCGCCTGTCCAGTCGCAGTCACAGTTACAGCCCGCCTCCCCACTGCCTGCTCCTTCTCCTTACGCTGGTCCGACTGGAGGTCTTACAGAGCGTCATGAGCCTGAGTCTCGTCCTGCGTTGCCTGTTCGTGCTGCTCGCACTAGTCGTCGTGGTTCGCGCCCCCCTCTCCTCCACCTCCTGCTCTCCTTGCTTCTTTTCCACCCACACGTCCTCATCCATGCTTCAACTATATCCTGCGCGTGCAACCACACCACCCACCCCCTCTCACCTGTGCCTGGCATCTGCTGCAGCGCACTCGCAAATCGGTTCACCCGCATGGCGCCAGCTGGCAGCGCCATCGTGCTGCCACCTGTCATGAGCAGGTGACTCGGGTTGCGCCACAGCACCCGAGCCACCAGGTCCGGCCGGACCACAGGCACGACCCGAGCCTAAGGACTGAGGGACACGCCGTCAGAGTGGTTGGTGCGGCGCTGGTATCGCTGGATGAGGAGAGCAGAGGCGTTCTGAGGGGTTGGGAGGGGTGGGGGGCGGGGGTGGGGGAGGATTGGGGAAGGATGGGAGAGTGGAGGGAAGACGTCAGGGTGAGGGATGGTGAACGGGGGTTTTGGGGTGGACGGGGTGTTGGCGGAGAGATTGGACGGGGTGGGGGGGATGAGGAAAGGTGCGAGAAATGGGAGGATTGGAAGGCCAATGTGGGCGAACAGACATGTGCATCTCGGCATGTGGACTAGCGGGACAAAAATGCAGCTAGAAAATCTTGAGCAGAAAAAAGGAACGGGAGGCAGCACATGGGAGGAAAGGCATTGAGGAGTTGTCAGAGGAGGGGAGGATGGCACGCATTGGATGTATCCAAGGCGGTGGGAGGAGGAGGGAGCAATCATGGTATGCGAGAGAAACAGTAAGGAAGGCGAGAGATGAAGAGAGTTGCGCGGTCTGGGATGGGACTTGTGAGGCACCTGGAGAGGGGACCTGTGGAGCACCTGGAGAGGTACCTGCGGGAAACCGAGGAAGAGAAAGGTTTGCAGCAGCAGCTGGGATGCGGATGGGCGGCGGGCCTCGTAGGCACGCAGGAAGCGGTCGGCGAAGCCCGGCTTGATGTCGGGCGGCACAGAGAGGTAGTCCACCGGGGTGAGCGGCAGCAGCCAGACAACAAAGCTGCCGTGGTGCGTGAGGCAGTGGTGCAGCGCCTGGTGGGGATGGTGAGGACGGGGTTGGGGGGGAAGAGGGATGTGTAACACGCATTGAGGTGCCGCGCCGCTGTGGAGTGGTGTGGTGGGGTGAGTGGCAGCAATCACACAGTCGTGGAGGTGCTGTGGTGGGTGAGGGGCAGTGGTGCAGTGTCTGAGAGGGAAGGTGAGGAAGGGGGGGGGGGGGGGGGGGGGGGGAGGGAGGATGTGGTAGGCGTGTTTGCAAGCAAGTGGTGCAGTGGAGGCAGGCAGGTAGTCGGGGTTGCTGGTGTGCAATGGTGCAGGGATGGATGGAGGGTAGGAGATGCGGAGAGGACAGGGAGGCGTGGATTGATGCTGCTGTCTCCTCCTCTTCCTCTCTTCCTGCCCTTTCTGACCCGGACTCTGACTCCCTTCGTGCTGCTAGTCCTACTGTCATGCGTCTCCTGGCCACTGTTGTCACTGACCCTTCCTTTGAGTCCACTGCTGCGTCTGCCTTAGTTGCTGAGCTTGTCGACTTTGCTCCTCACTGTCGTCTAGACTACGCCGCTAGTCTTGTTGCTGAGTCAGAGTCTGTCTGTCCTCCATCCGTCAGGGGTGAGTGTGCTCTTAGCACGGACGTCCTTGAGGACAGGCAGGAGGAGTTCCAGTGTTTTGTTGCTGCTTTACCTCATCTCGTGTCCATGCTGCTTGCCCCTGAGGGAGACCCGGATGCACCAGACATCCCGACCCCGCTCTCTTACGCAGAGGCGATAGAGGATCCCTACTCCTCTCAGTGGCAGACGGCCATGGACGCAGAGATGGCTTCTTGGAAGTCCACAGGCACCTACGTCGACGAGGTTCCCCCACCTGGGGCGAACATTGTCGATGGCATGTGGATTTTCAGGATGAAGCGGCCGCCGGGTTCTCCGCCTGTCTTCAAGGCGCGTTACGTGGCTCGAGGCTTCAGTCAGCGGCAGGGAGTTTACTACTTTCAGACCTTCTCTCCCACCCCGAAGATGACCACTCTTCTGATACTGCTACACGTCGCTGCTCAGCGTGACTACGAGCTTCACTCTCTTGACTTCAGCACAGCCTTCCTACAGGGCAGCCTGCACGAGGAGATCAGGCTGCGCCGCTCACCTGGCTTCACTGGGTCGTTTCCTCCTGGTACTCAGTGGAGCCTCCGGCGGCCAGTCTACGGTCTCCGCTAGGCGCCCCGTGAGTGGCACGACACACTGAGGACTACACTTGCGGATTTTGGGTTTGCTCCTGCTGACCCGTGGCTGTTTCTCCGCACCGACACTACCCTGCCGCCGTTCTACATCCTCGTGTATGTCGACGACTTGGTCTTTGCTACTGCTGACACTGCTAGACTGGCCCACGTGAAGTCGGAGCTGTAAAAGAGACACACGTGCACAGACCTTGGTGAACTGCGCAGCTATCTTGGCTTGCAGATCACCCAGGACAGAGCACGGCGCACCATTACCCTGACTCAGTCATACATGGTGCAGCAGGTCCTTCAGCGCTTCAACTTCACGTACTCCTCGTCTCAGGCCTCTCCTCTGTCTACTCGCCACTCGCTCTCAGCTCTGCCTTCGGATGAGTCCGTAGAGCCGAGTGGCCCCTACCCATAGATTGTTGGCTGCCTCATGTACATGATGACCTGCACTCGACCTGACCTGGCATACCCTCTGCATCTTGGCGCGCTATGTTGCTCCTGGGGGACACCGACCAGAGCACATGGATGCAGCTATGAGGGTGTTGCGCTACCTGTGCTGTGAGGATCTAGGATCGAGCTCAGAAAAGAGAATTGTAATTGATTGAATCACCTGGGTACAACACGATGCTATATATAGGCTCGACACAAGGCTTAGTAACCAGGTGTTACGCGAAGGTTCTGAGGGTTGCGAAGCGTCCCGAACAGAGCCTTCCCGAATTCGGTAGAAGGCAATTCGATGACAACCGAAAAGCCAGAATTTGGTGCACGCAACCTAGCTCGGTGCTATAACTATAATAAAATATAGGAAAGCACCTAGCCTAGGAAATCAAGCAATTTCATCCATGCATATAATTATCCTATGCTAAAAATAGCATAATAAAGTAAATGTGAGGATCTAGGATCGAGCTCAGAAAAGAGAATGTGAATTGAATGATTCACCTGGGTACAACACGAGGCTATACATAGTCTCGACACAAGGCCATTTACCCAGGTGTTACGCGAATGTTCTGAGGGTCGCGAAGCATCCCGAACAGAACCTTCCCGAACTCAGTAGAAAGCAATTCGGTGGCAACCGAAAAGGCTTGAGTTTGGTACACGTAACCTGGTTCGGTGCTATAACTATAATAAAATATAGGAATGCACCTAACCTAGGAAATCAAGCATATCTATGCATGATAAATAAAACCCAAGCTAGATATAGCATAATAAAGTCTAGGCAAGCTAGCAAAGCCAGCATAAGCCGTCGTACTCTCACACGTCCCCCCCTCAAAGCTGGGTGGAGTGAGAAACACCCTGCTTGACAAGATAGGCCTTGAGAGCACGGCGTGCGTTGCCCATATCAGCTTCTACAACCCAACTGTCCTCAGTGGGGTCGTATCCCTTCCAGCGTATCAGGAACTCGAGGGTCTTGCCGCCGCGGCGCCGATGAGTGAGAACCCGCTCGATCTCGTACTCGGGTTCATCCTGTATGAGAACAGGTGGTGGTGGCGGTAGCTGCCGTCCCTGGAACTGTTGGTTCGGGTCCTTGCAGGGTTTCAGTAGCTGGACATGGAAAGCGTTGTGAAGCTTCCATGTATCTGGTAAGCACAAGCGGAATGTAACTGGTGTCACCTGTGCCTCAACGAGAAAAGGACCACAGAAGCGAGGCCGGAGGAGGTGAGACAGGTTCAAGTTGTGCGTGTCGAGAAGCACCTGATCTTCGACTGCTACTGAGTGATCACGTCGCTGGCGATCGGCATACTGCTTCTGGGAGTTCTGCATCGTGGTGAGACGTCGCCGAGTCTTCTCCCATAGCTGCTGCATGGTGGTGACGAAGTCATGTGCGGCTTGGACATGTGCCGGTGTGGTTGGCTGCTGTGGTGTTAGTGGTTCCCGTCCGCAACACAGGAAGAACAGAGTTTTCCCTGTGGCCGCATGTGACGCGTTGTTGTGAGCGAACTCTAGGGTCGGTAACTGTGTGTCCCAGTGGCTGACATCGTCTTCGCAAGCTGTGCAATGTAACTATTCAACCACCTAATTGAGTCGCTCTATCTGTCCGTCAGTCTAGGGGTGGTATGCTGAAGACATTGCAAGCTTTGTCCCCAACAGTCCCATGAGCTCCTTCCAGAACTTACTCATGAATTTGCGGTCTCTGTCTGAGATGAGTGTAGCGGGGATGGTGATGATGCGGTCAAAGAAGAGGCGAGCAGTTGCTTCAGCTGTAGCCGTGGCGTTGGTCGGTATGAAGTGACCCATTTTGGATAACTTATTGATCACTACGAGGATGGCGTCATGCCCTTGTGAGGTCGAAGGAAGTCCCGTAATGAAGTCTAGGCTAACAACCTGCCATGGCTGCTCTGGTACGGGTAGAGGCTGAAGTAACCCTGCTTTTTTCTGCTTGCTACTCTTCATCGCTGGCACGTGTCGCGGGAGGTGACGAATTGCTGCACGTCTGCTGCCATCCCGGGCAAGTAGTAATACTTCGCTATTCCCGCTAACGTTTTGTTGCTTCCGAAATGTCCCGCGTAAGGTACGTCGTGAAACTCCTCCAATAGGATCTGCCGTAGTGGGGCGTAATTCGGTACCCAAATCTTTCCTGTGCCCTCCCTTAAAGCTAAGTCTTTCTCCCATTGTAACAGCTTCTTAGTCTATGCTGTAGCAATCTCTGCGTCCACGGAGTATCCATGTTGGAATAGACCCTTGAGCAGAGGGTTCATCCCATCGAGCTGGATGCCTGCTATATGATTGGGGCGGCTCAACGCGTCTGCCTTGTTGTGTAGCCCGGGCTTGTAGACGATGTCGTAGTAGAAGTGAGTTTCCAGGAAGTCCACCCACCGCACCTGTTGTCGTGAGAGCGTCGGCTACGACTTCAGGTATTTGAGACTGCAGTGGTCAGTATAGACTGTAGTCTTGGCTCCCTCTAGGTAACACCTCCATGCCTTGAAGGCTATGACTATCGCTAAGGCTTCCTTGTCATGGATGGGGTAGTTCAGTTCTGCTCCGTGTAGCTTCTTACTGAGGTAGGCGATGGGCTGCAAACCGCGTCCGTGATCCTGCATCAGTACTGCTCCGACTGCTTGAACACTAGCGTCTGCTTTTACCACGTAGTCCTTGTCTGGTTCCGGTAGGATGAGTAATGGCGCTGTAGTTAGTGCTGTCTGTAGCTGCTCCATGGCTTGCTGATGAGGAGTATCCCATTTGTAGGGCGTATCCTTTTTCAGAAGGTCGGTCAGTGGCGCTGCTATCTTTGCGTACTGCGGCACAAACCTGTTGTAGTAGTTGGCGAAGCCTAGGAACTGCTGCAACTCCTTTACTTTCTCCGGTACTTTCCACTTCTTGACGGCTTCGATCTTCCGCGGGTCCACATGTACGCCCTCGGCACTCACCATGTGCCCGAGAAACTGCACCTTCTTCAGTGCAAAGTCGCTCTTCGACAGCTTCACGTAGAACTTGTTTTTCCGCAGGATCTCGAACACCTTCCGCAGATGCTCCACGTGCTCCTTCATGTTTTTGGAGTAGATGAGGATATCGTCAAGGTACACTACTACGCACTCGTCCAGCAGGGGTCGAAGGATATGATCCATCTCCGCCTGAAACGTTGCTGGTGCGTTGCAGAGTCCGAACGGCATCACCAAGTATTCGTAGGAGCCGTATCTGGTACAGAACACCGTCTTGTGGATCGAGTTGTCCGCCATCTTGATCTGCCATTAACCCGACCGTAGGTCCAGCTTCGAAAAGACTGTTGCACCACGCAGTTGGTCCAGTAGGTCGTCTATGTGCGGTATGGGATATTTGTTTTTGGCTGTCTGTTTGTTCAGTGCGCGGTAGTCGATGCACATCCGTAAACTGCCGTCTGGTTTTGGAGTAAAGAGGACTGGTGCACCGTAGGGAGAGGTGGATGGGCGGATCAGTTGTCTGTCCAGTAGATACTCTATCTGTTTCTTCTTGTCTGTCTGTTCGGTCGGACTCAGTCGATATGGTGCACGTGAGACGGGTTTCGCACCTGGTTCCTCCACGATCTCGTGCTCGTGGGTGCGTGCTGGAGGTACGCCTGCGGGTAGGTCGTCGGGCATTATATATTTGTACTGCTCCAAGACCTCCTTCGCTGCTGCAGGTAGCTCCGAACTCGGCTTCTCCTCCTCTGCTGCTGCCATAACCAGTGCTAGGTAGCCCGTGTTACTCTCGTTCACCGTCCGTTCAAACCGTGCCAGTGTCGTTTCAGGAACGCTTCGTGTATCCACCCAGCTTCGCAGCTCCAC